TACCTCTCCAGATACATCTGTACGTTTCTTAGAAAGTCTCTTGCTTTTGTATTAAAGGTCACCTATGATGCTATTTTTAGGCAATAGCATAGGTCTCAGATATATAAAAAAACATGTCTATGAAGTGTTTTGCTCAATATCACCCATTCTAGCCATGCCTCATATCCCTCTATTTCACTTCCTGTTTCAAAAGTGCTGATTTGGGGTATAAAGCTTTTTTAAAAAATCAAATAAATTGATAACAAATAAAAAAGGAGGGGGATGAGCTCATGCGTCAATTTATTTGATTTTTTAAAAAAGCTTTATACCCCAAATCAGCACTTTTGAAACAGGAAGTGANATAACGACGGCAGATCGGAAACCATCTACTTCGTTTCGCACGGCAACCCTTGTAGTTCGGACTCGAGACAGTCTTTTAGGCGAAGGAGGCGTACGGCGGACTGCCAGTAGTCTCTGTAGGACCTCCCCCAGGACTCTTACTACCTTGGAAGCTGTGGGAGGACCCAGTCGTACTTTTCCACTTTTCCCCTTCTTGTACCCACACAGTTTACTATCTGGTACTCTTCCGCCCCTTATTATTTACTCCTCTTTCAAACGGCAACCGTCATATAATTTGACTGCCCTAGACAGTGTGGAAACAACCCAATGCATCTTCTGCACAATTCCTCCACTCCCCACAAATCCTCGCTACCCTCCCTTCTTCTACTACTTTCAAAAACGACACGATACTTTTCCTACCGCCCTTACTTAGTAGTTAAAGACGAAATCAACAGAAGTACCTATTAATGTCAGGCACATAGCACGGTTGGTAAATAAATAAAAGAGGGGTAAACAAGAATACCGGGCTGTTTCTTGAAATACCAAATAAATACGCAATGCGTAATGAAACTACAAGTAGATTTACAAGCGAAACATATTGTGAGTAGACTGCGCCCGTGGAAAACTCCCATAGTCTGCTGGTTTTATTAAGAAGGAACGATACGAGGTGAGACCCGACAACACACACGCACACACACACACACACACACACCACACACAGCACACCACACACACACACACACACACACACACCACACACACCAACACACACACACACACACACACACACACACACACACACTACACACACACACACACACAACACACACACACACACACACACACACACACACACACACCACACAGTCTTTCCCTCCTGTAGTAGAAGCTTACCCATTGTTCTCTTATGGAATTAAACAAACGCGAATTAATCTCTACTTTTGCTTCAAAGAGTTAAAATAAAAAATTAATTGTAATCGCAAGAAGGGACAAAGATCGATTGTGGGGGGATACAGAGGTTAAGAAGGGATAAGTACAGCTGGGATGGAGAGTAAATACCTGTTCGAGGGCAGTTGTATGTGTCAGGGTTCATACACTTTTTCAATTACTTTTCCATGACTTCTCCATGACCTTTGCCAAATTTTCCATGATCAAAAAAATGACTCTTTCTCAGCGGTACCACTGAAAATGGTTTATTTTAACATGGAACAGGAAAATAAGGTCTGAAACATGTTGTTCCTATCTAAAAGAAATCAAATAGGCTTAATAGCTTCTACAGACTAAAGAAACTAAAATCTCTCACCAGCAAAATACCTCGTCAGTTAAACGCCATTTTACGTTTCATTACTATACGGTCGATACAGTATTTATTATCATAGTATTACTATTTCGGTGATTAGATCAAATATAAATTATATTTGATGCAACTTTAGTTACATTTCCATGACTTTTCCAAAACTTTGGGAAAAATATTGTTTTCCATAACTTTTCCAGGGCCTGGAATTAGCATTTTGAATTTCCATGACTTCTCCAGGTTTTGAATGACCGTAAGATGTGTGTGTATTTCTAGTAACAGACGTATAATGACACTTACCTGCACTTCTTTCAGCTCATCATCTATTTTTGCCTTTCTCTCTTCAATCTTGGCCACTTCATGAGCCATCTTCCCTTTTATCTTTTCCATTTCTGTCTTCTGGTCACTTGCATTCTGGATTGAAACAAAAAAAGAAATATCTCGTGATGTTTATTATTATTACTTCAAATGTTTCAGAAAAAGAAGAATCTCAAACACAGCATACTGTCTTCGTCTTGCTACTCTCTGAGAACACTTGACCCCTTGACCTGGAGATTTGACAACTAAAACCTCTCTGAACAACCTTTTAAAATGTAAATGAGACTCTTTTTCAATACTTCAATTCTGAGATGCGTCAGACATACAGCCCCAGTCCTCCTCCTCCTCCTAAAGATGAAAGATTTGGTTTCACAGTAGGACACATTGTTGAGGATGAAAAGAGAAAGTGGTTGAATCACCTCTATATGATCCCAAGAATCCATATCCATCTCATCACATCGCACCCTCAGCCCAAGCAAATCTCTTTATTGACTGTCTTCTCGTCCTTCCAATTCTCCCTGTCAAGTCTTGATCCCTTCTTACGTGCCACATATGTCTCCTATTCGTTGATAGAATTTCATTTGTCTGCCTCTCCCACTGCTTTCTACTCTTTCCCAAGCCTCTATCACTATTCTATCAAGTTTGTTTCCCCTAGTCATTGCTCCGTCTGAGTGTTTCTCCTTTCCCCCTCCCTGCTGTCACCATCTCTACAGGAGGCGTAGTTGCTACAGTCCAAAGGGACAAGTCTATTCGGTAATTATCACTCTGCAAACTGACTCTGCTGACAGTTTCTCCTTCTGTTGTTTCCTCTCTCTCCCCTTTTCTCTCCATCTCACTCCAAAAAGCCAATTCCCCAAAGAGAGGAGACAGAGGGATATCATATCTAATGAACAGGGTTCAGCTTCCCTTTCCCTCCATACATACATCTATCCACCTCAAGACAGAGTCAGCAGGAGGAGATGGAAAGTGTGGATATCAGGAGAGAGAAAACTCTGGATGAGAAGTCAGAACAAACTAATGCGCAAAAGCCAAACTTAATAAATAGCGTCTTCACAGCAGGGTAGACACAGTGGTGGGAAATACAGAAAAAGTTGTTTGCATAATACAATGCAGATGAGGGGAGGACACGTGAAGAAGAGAGGCAAAGATAAGAGGAAGAGGAAAGGGGAAGAGAAGTAAATAGAGAGAAAGAAGGGAAGAGAAGCCAAATTGAGGAGAAAAGAGAAGAGTAGAAAAGAGAAGAGTAGAAAAGAGAAGAGGAGAAAAGAGAAGAGGAGAAAAGAGAAGACGAAAAAAGAGAAGAGGAGAAAGAGAGGAGGAGAAAAGAGAAGAAAAGACTGAAAAGAGAAGAAAAGAGAAGAAAAGAGAAGAAAAGAGAAGAAAAGAGAAGAAAAGAGAAGAAAAGACTAGAAAAGAGAAGAAAAGACTAGAAAATAGAAGAAAAGAGAAGACTAAAAAATAGAAGAAAAGAAAAGACTAAAAAAGAGAAGAGGAGAAAAGAGAAGAGGAGAAGTTTGGCAGCAAGAAGGCCCGCAGTGAGAGTTCAGATGAGGATAGATATAACTTGGAGGAGACACGAAACCCTGCTGGACCTCGGTCCTGTCTGCCACTGAGCGTCAAAGTTACACACACACACACACACACACACACACACACACACACACACACACACACACACACACACACACACACACACACACACACACACACACACACACACACACACACCTGCATAGAGGTGGTAATTTCCTGCAGGGCAGAATCTGCCTCGTGTTGTTTAGTCTTCAGCAGAGCACTCTGCTCCGCAGCCCGCCTCTTCAACTCATCCACCAATGACTTAGCTTCGTTCAGCTTCGACACGCCCGCCTGGAGACACAAGTCGAAGAAAGTAAATATTACTTTGATGTTTGAGAAAAACAAACAACCGAGGAAATGTTATACCAAATTCAAAAGGCTCTTAATCCTAAACAGAAACTGCATTTCAGATTAGGAAAAGACATTAACCTAAAAAGCCTTTATTTTGTATGTATATTTTAAGGTTTTGCCCAACTAGTTGCATATCACAACTAGTTGCATATCACAACTAGTTGCATATCACAACTAGTTGTTTTTGAAAACTTCTGCAAACCATATATACAAAAATATCTGTGTAATACAAATCATATTTTGACATTGGTATTTTGACAGACACAAAAACTTATATTTGTCTAAATTATGTTGTAAAAAAACAAACAATAAAACATTTGGTGTGAGTACCGGTACTTTTTGATCCGTCGTAGTTTTTGGTGCATATGGACATTGTACTGTATCTGATATTATACCTGCAGGTGCTGCTGTCTCGTAGTGAGCTGGCTCTGTTTCCGGCTAAATAACGCAGTGTAAACATGCAGGAAGGACATGTACTGGCTGGGTGTTGCACCATATTCTCTGCATGACTCATGGACCATCAGGAACAAACGGCACAGGTCTCCCTGAGCAGACCCTGCTGAGTGGAGAATACGGAAGATGGTGAACACAAACCGGTTTCAATGAAGAAGGCCATTTCACTTCTTTACAAACATACAAAGCCAAAAACCGCTAAGAACAATGGTCACTTTCCTACAGCTTTACCATGTGAAAAATAATAGAATAGTTGTTTTTCTTGTGGTTCACAAACCTTTCTTGCATTGGTGGAAACATTTACCCTCATATTTTAAGTTATTGATGGAAAAAGCCATTTTTAAATGACAGCACTAAAATTGTAATTGTGATAACTGGAAGATTGTTGGATTATATTACGTGTCTTACAACTTCATCCACAGCATTACAGTTATTCTTAAGGAGATGACAAGGATGAACTATAAAAGTAACTTCAACATAATTATAATGAACTTTGCTCTGTGTACACGCGCTCCCACCTGAGTTGTTCCCCTTTGTGGCCGTTTCCCTTCCATCCTCCTCTCCTCCTCCTTCTGTCCTTGCTAGCAGCAGCTCAGGAATCTGACATCATTAAGGTTTACACACCAGATGAAAAGGTTATATGAAAAGTGTTAATGCATGCGTTCAAATCTTCTTTATTGGAGAAAAATGTATGATTTCAGTTAGCACAATTAGGCAAATGTACTTCTGAAGCCCTGTGTTGAAGGGTTAATATAAAATATGAAACCACTTGTTAATCATACAAGTATGCACGGGGCTACGGCAGAGTGAAAGATAGCTCAACAGATTTTAGCTCAAGGCTGCACAAGTCTGTCTTTAAAAGGTTTCAGGCATATGTATGTCTCTCTACTTAACTGCTTTAAGAAGCCATTGTTTATTTAAAATATGTCACTGTTGTTGTTGTTGCTCCTTTCTCCTCTTCCTCCTACCTTCTTCATGCTGCTTTCAGACCATCCTTCCATCCACTGGACAGAACACTTGCGGTAGAAAGCTGGGTTGCTCTCACAGTTGATGGTGAAGTTAGAGTTGGAGCAGTCCATGATCAGAACAATGTGGAGGTTTTGCTTGATTCCTAGGGAGGGGTGGTACACAAACAGAAACGCCATGTAAGGGTGACTGTTAGGAAATAAGAACGGTTTAGGAGTTAATCATAAAATGTAGTTTGAGACAAAGCAAATGAGCTGGAAACAGAGATAGTAGGGGCAACTTTTGTGTTGATGAGATTGTCCCGTTCAGCTTATACCTTCTCAGAGAGTTGCTCTAGCGGGTATACTCTGACAATTATAGAGCTACTGATTGTATTCTTTAGCAGCAGCATCAACCTCAACGACACTGCACCATTTGTAGAGTGAAGACTCCACTGCACAGCAAGGAAGACGAGGACATGTGAGCAGAGGACCAGAGTGCAACATCTACCACAAAGATTGGAACGTTAAAAAAAGAGAAATAAACTGGACCCACTGTGGGAAAAGTAGTTGTACAGTGGTCCGGTGAATCCATCCTGGGAAGCGGCATCTTTGAGAGAGGAAAGGAGAGGCTCCAGCTCTTCAGGGGTGTACAGACCGGGAACTTCACCTGAAGAATAATGCAAACAAACACATAAATATAATCCTGACCTTGAAGTTAATAAAGAAGGACCTTACGGGCAAAAGTAAAATCTATTCTCATAAAAATGGAAGGAAGGGAAACAAACACTTTACACACCTGATGACAACAGGCTGTTCACCATTTCTAAGAAAGCTGGGTGAACAAACTGATAATCCTCCAACAGTAGAACCACCTGTTGGCCCTCCAGACCTGCAAGCTGCATCACCTGCACACACATACAAAGACATTTTACGTTGCATATACATAGACACATCACAGGCACTCTGATACCAAAGTTCCTGCAGCACCATTTTTGCCAACAAAAAGCTATATAACAAACTACAGGAAAAGGGAAAACCCCCAACGCATAATATGGCCTAAGGGAAATTAGAAAGCTCAGTACAAAAAACTAAAGGTATACTAAAGGTATTCGGCATGCGCTGGTTTGTTTGGCATAATGTGAACTAGTTGAGCCGATAAAAAAGGCAATCCACTCTTACCGTCTTGAGATCATTGCTGAAATTCTTGAGAGCATAACCACGGGAGATCTTGGGCGTGAACAGTGTGAATCCATGCATGTGTGACACCAGGCAGGTGGCTGTGTGGCGACCCACTCCACTCCTTCCCGCCAGAAGCAGAGAGCCCCCGGGTCGGCTCAGGACCCGGTCCACCCTGGACACGAAGTCACACACTTCCCAGAACAGAAGGAGATCCAGCTCCTTATTATCACGGCTGTACAGCACTACTCCCTAGGGGGAGGAGAGGAGGAGCACACGCAGGTGAGAGAGCTGCACCACAGACACTCAGAAGAAAGAACGAAACACCGACACAGGAACAGAGCCATTTTAATTCGGCGTAGAGATCAAATCAGAAGCTGAAAAAAAAACATCTTTCATTTACTAAGGTAAAGCTGCAAAACCACAGTGTTAAGATAAATCATTATAAATGTAAGCAAAGTTCTAATTATGCAGAATAGCATATTTTATTTGATATACCATTATTTAAAATATACCTGTGTTCACCGCTTGTCTAAAACACTACGTTTTAGTGCCTGTCTCTTTAAGCCCTGCTGAATAAACTCAATATACTGTGGTTAATCTGGCCGTACAAATGTGCTGAACCTTTGCAAGTAAGTTCAGAAGCTGTGAATTGAGATGGGAGGCATACTGTAAAGAATCTTTATGTGAAGGGGAGCCAAATTACAATGGCTTGTCAATACCCTGTTTTCTGCCCAAGGTTGCCAACAAAGAACGATTGTGTTTTGTTATTTCACTGTTTGTGGGTTGTTAGGCACAGCACTGCAGACAGTGTACCTTTTGTATAACTTCCTTGAGGTCAGCAGAATCCAGGCGTCCCAGTTGTTTACCATGAGGAGGGAGAGACTGGCCTGGAGCCATCACAGCCCCTTCAGAGGCTCCCCATGTCACATAGAAACCATCTGCACCCGGGGGAAATATTACAGATGGTTAGCAACATACCCTGCTACGTACGTGCACATCAAATGACAGACTTCAGAGGATACAGAGGTGAGAGAAAATATGGGGAAAATGTGCACTGTAAAGGAAACTACGGTCACAAAAATCAACCAATACCAGTCAAAAACATCTGAACATGAAATCAATGTGTGTCTGAATGTTCAACATGGGCGTTTCTGATTAGGTTTCAAATCTCACAGCTTACACACCAGATGTTTTAGAGAAGCGGGCAGGTGTTTGCTTTGCAGGTGGACTGCACTTCTGGCCATCATTTGGAGGAGACATTTCTTGCAGAGTTTAGGTGCCAGCCTTTAGCTGATTCTCTCTCACTGGCTGGATTTTAATGCAGATGGCTTATGTTTAAAGAAGTGTGAGCAGATGACAGGGACGTTTGGGAAAGTACCGGTACTGCTCTGTCTCTGCAATCAGTGCCAGGTGCTAGAGGGATATTGCAGTTTCATGTCTTTTATTTATTGAGCATCAGGGACCTGTTCTTAAAAATGTTGCCTCTCTGAGCTGAGCCAGCTTTCTTAACATGGTTGTATTATACTGGCTTCCATTGTTTTTTTGAATGACTAAAACGGGCAAGTCATCCTCTTGCCAGGATTCACCAAGTATTTCTAGTGGTGCTGTGCAGATCATTACGAAGCATAGTATGTATTGGTATTATTATATCCATTAATATGCAAGGAGGGCAGAATCTGCATTTATCTGCAGTCCACTTAGAGTTCTGAGAGGAGCTTCTGCACAGGGAGGACAACACTAGAAAAAGACTTGGATGGCTCTTTATTGGTTGATTCTGGAGAATGAGTCTGTTATTGTTTATGACACACAAGGAGTTGGCATGCAACGAAGCGTTGGAGTCTTGCCAGTTGCCTGTGTCTTGCAGCTGCTATAACCAAGGAATCAAATTGGTATGACTTGTAGTGACACTTTGTTCTTTATCAGTGAGTAAATAAGGAATATGTGCTAAGCCGTAAGCACTTGAAAACATTTGATCATGTCATGCCTGACATTAGCTAACAGACCATTAGCTGAGGCACTGCCATTAATGCAGAGCTGTCAAAGAACAAAGCCAGTCAAATGTTGCTTTCATTCTTGCATGAATGTTGGCAAGAATTGCATCAAGCACTCAATCTCAAATTACGGTAGATGTTTTCCTGCTTTAATTTGGCGTTGTTTTGTATATGTGTGATTTCAATGAAAGTGTATGTCGGTGAGATGAGAGGTCTCTCATACCGGTCATGTTGTCGAGAGCGTCAGAGCCCCAGTCTCCACGTACGATGGATGAGAGGATGTTATCAAAGGTGTGAAGGTCTTTAGAGGAAACTAGCCGGTCTCTGAACAGCCTCCTGGCCTCATATGCTACCACCTCCAACACGCTGTCTGTCACATTGGATTGAGCTAAAGAGGAATAGATGTCACAAGCACACACATACTTGACTTCATAACTGACAAAACATTTATTTTTACATACATTTTTTTCTCACCAAATCCTTAAAGGGGACCTATCATGTAAAATGTACTTTTTGATGTCTTTTATACATAAATATGTGTCCCCGGTGTGTCAGGGAACTCACGCAGCGTCAGAAAATGAAACCCTTTCTCTTTTCCTCCGTACCCAAATCTCTAAAAACGGGGCTACAACGGAGCTGATCCAGATGTGTGTCCGATATGACGTAATATCGGAAATGTAGGCTGCTTTACACCCACGGCCCTATCAGAAACGTTGCTATCAGAAACAATGCCCGACTGTTTTGGACGTAATATGGTCGGTGCATGTTTACATTAGCATGGCTAACACTCAGAGCTAACCTGTACTGCACAGAGCATGTGTGTGAAGAAGCAGGAAATACAAAGGAACTCACCTTGTGGTATAACCGG